CGCCGAGCGCGCCGCCGGAGGACACCGCTTGCGCGCACGCGCCCGGCTGGGGCGGCAGCAGCTTCCACGACGGCAGCTTTTACTCCGATGCCGGCGGGGGCGGCGGCGGCGGCGCGTACGCGGCGGGCTCGTGGCCGCAGCAGCACCCGCACGGGGGTTTCGCCGGCGGCGGCGGCGCTCCGCCCAGCCGCAGCCAGGTGGACGTTCTGCTGCTGGACCCGCCCACATGGCTTCCCGACAGCTTTGCCTCTCACTGCGGCAGCGTGAGCGGCCGGCCGGCCGGGCCCACTCCGTGCCCCGCGTGCCTATGGCGCTGTGTGCCTGTGTTGCGTTGGGCACGCCCCATCTGGGTTCCGCAAAGCCTGAAGCAGCTTTGGGGATATGTCCAGGCGCTCCCCTCGGCACCTTGATTCAAGCACATGCTCCTGATTATAACCCTTGTTTTGCCGCCCCGCTCCTCGCCCCCCCTCAATGCAGTGCCACCTGCCATTCAAGCCGGTGCTGAGGCTGCGCCACCACTGCCGCCTCTGCGGCAAGGTGTTCTGCCACGCGTGCTGCGGCAAGCGTCTGCTGCTGCCGCCGCGCTACAACCTCCGGGAGCCGCAGCGCGCGTGCGAGATGTGCAGCTCCCTGCTGCAGCCGCTGCAGCCGTACCTGACCGGCACTCTGTCGCGGTGCGTGCAGCCGCCGGTACATGATGCCCTCGACGCCGTCAGCCTGCGCAGGTGGGTGCCTGTCCGGCTTGCATTTCAAACCTGGGCCGCTTGCATCGTGAGGCCGAGCCAATCCGAGGGGGTTGAACGCAAGCAGATGACGCAGAGCGCACTCAGTCTTTGCTGATGCTGGCGCGCGTGTGCGACCAGTGCGACGGCGCGGCGCCGGCCGCGGCGATGGGTCGGCAAAGCTCCCGCTTGCGTACGCCACCCGCGCACGCCCCGCTTGCACGCCACCCTGCCAAAACCCACCTGAACTACCTCGCATCGTTGCCTTGCGTGCCCCCTCCCACCACTCTCCCCTATACGTGTGTTTTATGTACATGCTTTCAGTTGGCTGAACTTCCCGGTCAGTGGGTCCCTGGAGGATGACGCCTACAAGGCGACTAATATACTGCGCACCTTCATGGCAGCTTCCCGCCTGGAGCCCGAGCGGCAGCTGCCGGCCAGCGTGCTGCGGGGCGCGCGGGGGCTGGCGCTGATGTCGGTGCTGAGGGTCGGCGCGGGCTGGTCCGCGACCGTCGGGACAGGTGAGGGGTTCGATCCCCGCCGGCGGCACGCTTTCGTTTGTGTGATGGCAGGGCGCGAGGTGCAGGTGCAGCCGGTCGGCCATGGGCTTTGCGGCAGGGAGCGCGACAGCAGTGAACGAGCCGCCTTGTTCCTGCGTCCACCACCGAAGCACGACGGGGTTGGCTCCCTGGCTGGCAGGAAGCATCACTCCCCGCCCCCCCCCCTCACACACACAATCAACTCACCCATCCTGCCAGGCCTCGTCGTGTCGCGCCAGCTGGACGGCTCCTGGTCCCCGCCCTGCGCCGCGGCCTGCTACGGCGTCGGCTGGGGCGCGCAGATCGGCGGCGAGGTGCGTCGCGGCGCGGCGCAGGGACGCGGCGCGCGTTTCGTCCCGACCCATGCGGTCGCGCCCGGCACGCACCGCGCTGCCGAAGCCCGCGCCCCCCCCTGCAGAGCCCGTTTGAACACCCCCACCGCTGATGCGTGCTGCCTGGGCCCCGCTCAGTCGCGCTCTCCCTTCGCCTGGCGCGCCCCTCACGCGTTTCCATCCGTTTGCCCGAGTTTGACCGGCCCCCTCTCCCCAAACCCCGACCGAAAAAACACCCTACGGGCGCAGCTGGCGGACGTCGTACTGGTGCTGCGGACAGACGAAGCGCTGCAAGCATTCTGCAGCTCCGCCCACCTGGCGGTCTCCGGCAGCGCCGCCGCGTCGCTGGGCCCCGTCGGCCGCCGCGCGCAGGCGGGCCTCCAGGTCGGCGCCGCCGGCGGCGGCGCGGCGGTCGGGTACAGCTGCAGCCGGGGCGCGTTTGTGGGGGTGGCGGTGGAGGGCAGCGTGTTCGTCGTAAGGGACGCAGCCAACCTCGCCTTTTACGGTGGGTCCTGCCACCCTGGTGCCTGCCCCTCCCTCCTGCCTGCCTGCCTGCCTGCCTGCCTGCCAGACTTCCGGGGCCTGCCCTCCCCTTGCGAGGGTGCGAGGGGGGGGGGGCTACACCTGGGCTGCGCAGCTGGTGGCGCGCAGCGGCCCGGGCCAAGCGGCCGCGCCGGGCCACCGCTCCAACTGATAAATGCATGAGACGACGCTGGTTCGGGATAATGGGGATTTTTCGCCGTCTTTTGTTGGTACCACCTCCGCCCAGACCCTCTCACAACATTTTTTAGCCCCGTCCATCACCATCCCCGTTCCTG